ATAGCAAATGAGAATCATCTATGTATGTGGACACACATTGTACCTCGCACGAGTTTAATGGCTAAAAAGCATGACTCGTACCAAGCACAATGTTATATACATATGACATTCCTAGATGGTGTTGTAGGAGGTGTGGTTGTGTAACTCTCGTTAAAGAGAATTGTGCAACATGTGGCTTTATATGTGAACCACCTTCTCATGACGAGTGCAAGCATCTATCCACATGCATATTGTGATGTATGTGAGAGAATTACTACAAGTGACACCCAAAAATGTGAAATGCTAGACAACATTCATGACTAAAACAACCTCACATGCAATGAAATATATTAAAGACAACGCCAAAACAATGAAGTTTCATACACATAAAGATGCCAAACACAATAAGCAACTTGATGCAAGAATGCATACATGCATGCACCGATCAAATGAAACTGGCCAAAGATAGCCGATCAGATCGAAGTGATCAGTCGATTGGATTGGGACAGACGATCAAAACACACACACGTACACACGCGCGCGCCCACACACACACACACATAGTGAAAACATATATATTTGTGTTATTTAATTAAGATATTATTATTGATCCCAAAATATAATGATAAACGGTCTTTTTCATCAAAAATAATTGCAAAACAATTGATTATGCAAACAGATTCGAGCTATTCCAATAGCTGCTTTCTGACAGTACCTGTGAAGCCGCTTCTCCGAAAAACAACTTCACAGCCGCTTCTTCAAAAAGCAACAACCATCCCAAGTGTATCCTAATAAATGGTTGGAGCACTTCCAAACATGCTCATCATGGTTATGTTATGCCTGCTGTCCAACTATTTGCTATGAAGGTGGTTTCCATTATGAGCCAATTGTTCATATATTAAGTATTGAGAAAATATCACACATCATTCACTTTCCACAAAAATCCAAAAAGCTTGATTCTCATATTCCCATTCCACATTCATTTTGACATTTGTAGCCATAGTTACTCTAATCTTATTTAGGTTCACCAAATTAATTATTGTTCATCATCACACTAATATTTTAATTGACTAGGGGCTCATTCGCTTCTTTTCAAAGATATCTGGTTCCTGGTAGCTAATCAGCTTGTTTGGCTAATATCATTACAAATTAAAATTGAAGTCGCTTTACGCTTCTCTCTTCAATCTTTCTCCGAATTGCAGAGCAAAAAGATTAGCTTTGTCGTTGTTATCTTAACCTATTATGGTGCTAGTTCTATACTCAACTCAATTATATATTTATAAAGACCACAAATAGAGATTTCCAAATCTAATAATTGTTGGGAGGGATTAAATTACAGAAAACGCCATATTTAAAGTGAAAAAATCTAATAACGAGAAAAAAATGATGAAGCCACATCATGTTAAGAAATCAACTACGAAAAAGATGAGGAGAATCATATAAACTATACCATACTCGAGTTTTTCTACACTTTGGAAATTCAATGACACTCTTATAAGGGTGTAAATGAGCAAAACATGCTCGCGAGCTGGCTGGAGCTCACGAGCCGAGCTTATCAAGCCATGAGTTCGAGCTCGAGCTCGAGCTTGTCTCGGCTAGATTCATTGGCTTGTGAGCTGGCTAGATTAGCCTACCCCTAGTCATTTTAATAAATTTTCTAGTGAGTTGCAGCTGTATCTTCTTCCTCCGGCCACCAATACCTTCTTCGGCCAGCTAATGTAAAAATTGAATTTTGGATAATTTACATACATGGCACCTAATTCTAATGCATTTACTTATCTCACATGCAAAATTTGATTTTTACATTGCGAGCACCCTAACCTATGTATGAAAAGGTGGATTGCACTATTTTCACCTTATCATACATAGAAAAGATGCTTATCACATAAAAATCAAAGTTTGGGTGTAAGATAAATAAATGCGTAATAATTGGCTGCTATGTATGTAAATTCCCCTTAAATTTTTAGCTGAAGCTCGCGAGCTTGCTGCTATCACTATGAGCCGAGCTTGATGAGGGCATGACTCGAGCTTGACTCGACTCCTATCATCTAATTCTTTGCATAAGAGAATTAAATCCTATATATTCCCTTCTGTAAAACCTGAACTCATAAGTGAAATGCTATCTAAAATTGATTGCTGGTGTCAACGCACCACCACGATCCTCCAAAGCGTCGTTGGAGCATAGTGCTCTCGGGTTCTAAAGCTTGACTGGGTGGGATGCTAAGTGTTTTAGGTATGGTACATAGACATAGAATTGATTAATAATATAAAGCTCCACATAATAACAATAATTTCTCCCAATAAGAAGAGCCCATTCAACGTTTGGAATGTGAATCCTTTGTAAATCATTTTAATCGTGAATCTTTAATGTCATCAATATAAAAATTACTTTTCATCGTTAATATTTATATTCTATACCAAATAGATTTGCGATGATCTTATTAGGGCTGTCAAAAAGCTCGTTGTTCGCGAACAGCTCATGTTCGGCTCGTTGAGTAGCTCATGTTCGGCTCGCTCGTTAAGTAAACGAGTCGATCACGAACAAATTTTTAAAGCTCGAATTATAAAAGAGCAGAATACGAACAATTCTTTGTTCGTTCGTGTTCATTTTTGCTTTAAAAAAAAACTATTTATATAATAATATATTACATATATTATTTATGTAATAATATATTATATATGATTATATCTAAAATTAAATCATAAAATCTCATGTAGAAATCTAGTTATTGCTTTATTTTGTATATATTTGTTCAAGGTTTGAAGCCCACACTTTACATTTATTTTTTTAAATTTAATTTTAAAGAGGCAATTTCGAGCCGAACACAAACACACTGTTCACAAGCCGATTTCGAACACGAGCTATTTCGAACGAGCCGAACATGAGCCAAACCTGAGCTCGCTCAAGTTCGGCTCGTTTACAACCCTAGATCTTATGATAAATCTCTTTTACATACATACAACTAAATTTCAATTTTTGATTATACGTGTCATTTTACTTTCACTTTTTAAAAGTTAAAATAATACTGTTATAAAAATGAAAATAATAGTTATATAAAAAAAAAACTCTTAACGCTCAACTAAGAAAATAAATTTCACATAAAATACCCTCCAAAGCCAACACTTCATTTGGCGCGTCCCCACCATCGTCCCAAAGCAAAGCCCGCACCGCGCCTTTTGACCACCGTGCTGAGGAAAATGCTGAAGCTTAAGGGGTTGGGGAAGAGGAGTGCGAGGGATGCGGAACGGAAGATGGCGGCAGAAGCGCGGCTGTTGAGAGGCGAAGAGAGGATAGAAGTTGTTGTGGGGAGGGAGAGTTGGTGGGGATGAAGATGGAGAAGGGGAGGTCAGAGGATTGGTGGTTAGCCCAAGGGAGTGGGAAATGGTGGAGTGTGCATTCTTAGACAAATATTTCATTCGGATTTTAGTTGTAATTTGAGTTAGAAATCTAATAATTGAGTGTCACGCGTCAGTGAGCCCACCATAATTGAGTGTCATTAGCATGTTTGTAGTTGATGCTCCGATTCGAAGAGGGATATGAATTTTGCTCGAAAATCATATATTCACTCAAGGCTTGAATCAATATCGTATCGAAATAAATGAGCCGTGAAATTCATCTTTTTTTTTTAGGCCAATTTTTAGCCTACTCAGCTCAAAACAGATTGTTAAGAGTCCTATAAAGAGTGATGTAATGGGCGTTTTTTTTTTAAATTAAATTGAGATTAAATTGAAATTCACATGACATGTAATTAAAAAAAATAAAAGTCTAATCCGCCCACGTACAATAGGGTAGATTTACAGGAGGTTGTTATTTGAGAAAATTTTAAAATAGGTTAGCGTTTAAACTAAAATTAATATAATCGATGTTATTAAGGTGAATAAATGCAAAAGAAATCATGGCTAGGATTTCTGCACTCCCACACTTATTCAGAAGTATACGGGAAATATTAGATAGAGGTAGATGCCTGTTTAACTATATTGTAATAGTATTTACAATTATACCACCATAATACCCAACCAAATCATATATACATCATTCGTACATAATATTTTTTTAATATACAGACATCACACCATAAGCGCAAAAGTACCACCATATTTAAAATATAAATAAAATAATAAATTTAAAATATAAAAAAAATTAGAAAATTATGTCTACATATTTTTGTCATGTAAAAAAAAATGTTGTCATATAAGCGAAAAACCGAAGAGACAATGCTGATTATATCCATCAAGAAATTATGTGCACACATCAAGTGAGCCCCATCACAATACACTGGCATTGGCCAGAGTTAAAAATGATGGGGCCCACTTGACACGTGGTGCCACACCATTAGGGCTGTCAAAACGGCTCGTTCACGAACAGCTTGCGTTCAGCTAGATAAGAAGCTCGTGTTTGGCTCGTTTGCTAAGTTAACGAGCCGAACACAAACAAGACGAACAATTTGTTCGTCTCATGTTCGGCTCTTTTTAGCTCGACATACTACTAATCAATTATATATATATCTTTGATGAGTAGTATTTTTTAAAAAATTAATTGACTACAAGTCTACAAAGATTTATAATCGATTTAAATTATTAATGAAGAAAATAAAATAAAAATTATTAAATTAGATTCAAATGATGTTTAAATCTTACCTCAATCCTTAACATCTTATGACTGTGATTAGGGTTGTCAAAATGACTCTTTGTTCGGCTTGTTTTCGGCTCGCTAAGCAAACGAGCCGAACAAGAACACACTTTTTGAGCTCGAAATATAAACAAGCTGAACACGAGTTGAGCCTGAGCTTGCTCGTGTTCGGCTCGTTTACACTCCTACACCATTTGAGCTCGAAATGCATTTAAAGTACTGATGTAATATTTTTTTCCATTTACAATCAATAAAAACATAGTAATATATGTCCAGATTAATTCCAGTAAGAAATCTTTTTACCACTATTACAGATAAACCCAACTTTCTTAATAATCACAGAAACCAACTTCAAACAAAACATTCTTAAAATGAAGAAAAAGATAAAATCTGCGCACAATATTTATCCACTGTCATTCACTACGACAAAAATCATTTCAAAAGAAGGAGAGGACATAATATTAGAAAAAAAATTATACTGCAGTCTTACAAACTTTACATAATGAACAAATATATAAAACTAAATAAACATAAAAACAACTGCTTTCAGTTTTATAGGGAATAACCAACCTTCACCATGCATTTACAATTTGAAATCATGGGCATCTGACCGTTGTCCAGAATGAAAGAAGACCAACCAGAACTGTGAAACACAAAAATTATATATATATATATTCCAAAATTTGAAGCTCACATTAAGCCACCAATATTCCATTCTTCAATCAAATCATTCATCATCGGTTTTCCACAGCACCATACCAAAATGAAAGCTTCATTAAATTATGAAAAGCTTGATGTCATGCCTGTGAATTAAGGTCCAATAATGAATTTGCAATTAGCCATACAGCTATTAAATGAACAAACAGGAGAGAGAGGGAGAGAGAGAGAAAGGGGGAGAGAGAGAGAGGGAGAGAGAGGATCTGTGATTAAAAAAAATTATAAGAAATAAAAGAGAATCAAAATAAAAAATACCGCGGGTATTGGTATCTGCAGGAGAATGAATGAAATAGAATACAAACAAATGGAGATGGCAACCCCAGCAAGAAAATTTTGCAGAAGGCGCTTGTTGTCCTTGGTGGGTAAGAATGCACTCTTTAGTGTATTTGTAAGCTCAAACACTCTAAAAGATATCTGCAGAAGAAGGCAAAAGCGATTGAATTTAGGGAAAAATATATACATAGGACACAATTCTAATGTATTTATATATCTCACACCTACACTTTGATATTTGCATACATAGCACTTTGGTGCTTTAAACCTATCACTTGTATTTCACTTTTAAAAATGACGATGGTGCCATTTTTTATGTGATATTAAATATGAGTCCTATGTGAGTAAATATGATAATTTAGTGGTGAGATATATAAATAGATAAGCATTGTGTGTTATGTATGCACTCATGAACAGGCAAGATGCACAAAAAAAAATAGAATAAAATCTAACTTAACAAGTGGTGAGATTACTCACAAATAGATAGATTATGGTAGTTAGCATAAAATTGAGCAGTGGATAATTTGGAATAAGAGAAAGCAGCCACTTGGGCTGCCCATTTGGTCGGCCCGACCTGCAAGTTAAAGAAGGACTATTATGGGTCTATTTATTACTTGATGGAAACCATGACATAGCATCATGAATCTAACAAATTTGTATGAATTTTAAATAAACAAAAAGGATGATCGATTCAGCCTACATACTAAAAAACCTTTAAGTTTTTGTCAGCGTGAATTCACTAGGAAGTAACTTTCATTGGTTGATCCATTTTATATCAAAGCCCCACTAAGTTGAACAAAATGCGTTCAAATTGTATGTCACGATTAAAGTAAACAACTATAGCAGCAATAAGTGACAAGTTTCATCGTCACAAATATTACGAACAATTTCCAAGCACATATCGTAGGATAACTTTCTTGTTTAGGTAAAGCTACAGACCACCACATCAAGAAGCACTTTGCCGATGTAAGACTCTCTGGACATATTCTATTGTCAAATTAACTCTTACTTTAATTTTGTCTATATACATAAACTAGGAATCCTGAGTAAAATTCAATTCAAAATTCTTCCAAATTCTTTCTCCTCTTCCTCTGCTCTCTCCTTGCTATGGAGACTTACTGCAAGCAAGAAACAAACTGCTGTTTTATTTGAAATCAAGGATCTCTCTCATTTGAACAAAAAATTAGCTCTCCATAACTACATACACAAATTTGAATATCAATGGCTTTAAGGAGAAAGATAGCTTGGTGTAGAAAATATGCTCACTTAAAAATTCACTTTTTAATCTCTTTCTAAGGGGTTTCGAGTGAATAAAATTAACCCACCCGTTGCATGTTCCAAACATGCATATGGCGGCCCTCAATAAAAAAACCTTCAAATTAAAGAGGATTCAAACTTGAAATTCAAGTTATTGGCTAATTGTATAGTATAATCATAATTGTATGGTACGATGATGGTCGTACAATATAATCATTCGATTCATAGACTGAATATTAGGCTGATTTGTTACACATCAATCAAATTAGTATAGAAAAAACAATATTATACATCAGGAGCACAATCGTATAATATGATAGGTACAACTTTTAAATTGCTAGTACCATCCACAGTATATAGCACAATCTAGAGATCGGTTTACATGAATAACATATTAATTAAATAATCAAGATCTTCGATTTGATTGAAGATGAAATTGCCATATGATACACAATTTTTTATTTGGGGCATTAACTAGCAAATTTCAATCAGGAAACCCAAACTCATACTCAATGAAGCTTTATTCTTTAGGAGAGTTGAAAATTGGATGCATATTCAGCTTTCTTTCTCTCGGTTGAGTTCAGAGAGTTTATACAATCAATCTCATTTCTAGTTGGTTACCCTTAATGATCTTAATTAGTTGTAAATATAGTAAAGGGTAAATGTTTCAACAAAAAGAAATAATATAAAGGCTAGACATGGTAAGAATGTAACAAAGATGAGCTTGACAAACTTCTAATTTTAAATGGAATAATCAGATCAAGCTCGACCATGCTGGAAAAAATGGTAGCACTAACAAAGAAAAATGAAGAAAACTATCCTGATGTTTGATGAGACTGATAAACTAGATCATACTTGATTATTCAGGCACTCAAAGAAATTTTCTCACAAATTCTTGTTTGATTGCTAAATCATAAGCCCATTTAAAGCCTAACAATGTGAAATTATTGCCAAATCAAATAGTTTAACATAAATAAAATAAAATAAAAAAAGCTTGAAGTGCACCACCTCAACCAGATATGGATCTGCGAGATATATGTCTCCAATGTGACCTTGCCAAGCCACCTAAGAACACAAAAGGGGAAAAAAAAATTTGCAATGATTAACTCACAACGAGATCTAAAAGTATTGGAGATGTATGCCTTTAGCTTTGAAAAGAACTTACGCAAAGAGGGTCAACGAGTGACTTCTAAGCAGCTGTGAAACATTTCTTAGACAAATATAAACGCTAAAATACATAATAAGAATGCATTAGTTTGGCAAGAACCACTAACTTAAATATGATTACATTTCTCAAATAAGCTCTTACGTGATGGGGATCCATGAAGTGTAAGGATGGTATTTATTGTAAGTAATTTTGTCTAGCCTGTAGATATATTCATACCACAAACCACCAACCTAGAAATATGCATAAAATTCTTGTTAATCATATGTTCCAACATAAAATGATGATGACATCTCCTATGATTAGAAGAACAAGGAATGCATGCGACTTACCAACAAGCAAACTACAACTATGCTTGATTTAATTGATAATCTCAATTTAGTTTCGGTTTCATCAAGTTTTTCCATCCATCTTTCAACCTGGCATGCAAGAAGATCGAACGATGAAGCAAACCAAGTCAGAAATCATATATACATATATAAGGGGGGTGTGAGTGTGTGTCCAAGAAACTTACATTTGGATGGTAGTAGGCATAAATCATTCCTATGATCCAGATATAGCGATCAAGACCAGATCTGAAGTGCCATTCATGCAAAAGAGGGATGCTTGCCTTAGAAGGATCTGGATCTTTGTACCCTGCACCAAAAAAAATTCAAAGAACTGTTACCACCTGAGATAATCAACAAGACACACGGGACCGCAAAAAATTGTACAAGAAACTGGCCTAAAAAGAAGGTGAAGGGAGTCCACAGAACTTCAAAAACTCCAGGAACTTCCCATATCAAGATAACAACCAAAAAACAAGAGAAGATCTTCACAGCAATAACCGACCCAATCTCATTGTATTTGTTGAAAATACCGAGTGTCACATAAACCATAAGGGTGAATAGAGTGTGCATTGGACAAATATAATACAGCATGTAATCATTGTTGAGGACAATGCAACACAGGATCACAAAAAAGTTCAGTCTCCACATCATCTGTGTTTGAAGTGTGAAACATCAAAGACAACACCTTTAACAAGCAAGACAATAGAAACCACATGATTGCATACATACCTGAGCAAATCGAGCGAGGCTGAAATCCTTTTTGACAAAATAATAAGAGAAGTTCCCAAATCCAGTCATCCAGACATAAGCAGCTATAAAGATGCGGATCGCATTGTACATTTCCGTGGCAGCAAAGTAGTGGTACATTAGAAATAAGACCTGATAAAGAATAGAAATTTGAAGCATGATAAATATCCAAAAAGAAAACTACATCCTACATTATTTGGGAACAATAACAAATGCGGAAAACAAGGTAAATGATTAGGAGGAACTCGAATTTGTACAAGCTGTTAACATACCAGGTAGTGCACTGACCTTCAAAATTTAGGGTTTAGGGTTTATATCAATTTTATAGCATGCAACTAAAGATAGCGACTCATTTCATTTAAGTTTCTATTAACTGGACTATTCCCATGCTTTTTAAAATAGAGTTAGGCTGTGTTTGGGGCGGCGGTTTTTGCGCGGCGTGGCCGCAAAACTGCTGCGAGCAAAATTTTTTCCCTGTTTGCTTCGTAACTTTGCGGGGGAAGTGATAAGAAGCTTTGGGGAAGCCGGTCGCTGGATCAACCCCACTGCCTCGCGTTGGCCCCTAAAATTTTTTACCTTTACCCTCGCGACCCTTTTGCCCTAGCAGCCTTCTCCTCCGCGTCTTCACCTCGAGCGAAAAAGAGAAGCTCGTTCCTCTGCTCCTTTACTCCTCATTCGAAAACCATAAGAATCGAGGTGTATGGATCTTCGAAAATTTTCTCTCCCGGGTCTCCCTTGCGTCTCTGCTCCTCCCCTTCCTCTTCTCCCATCGCCAGTTTCTCATATCAATTTGGACATGCAATATTTAGTAGCATGAAGAAGATTTTCGTGGTATATTCTTGAGTGTTACGAAGTATGTACATCTGATTTACATGAAGGATATGTTTTTCTTTCTCATAGTGGCTCTACATATGAAGAAATTTTTTTTTGTTCCTTGCAGTATAGCAATACGAAAATGGTTTTGGAAAATTTAATTACTTTGCATTTCTTACCATTAAATTTATTACATAAACCCAACAATTACATTTATTACATAATTAACACTTAGAAGTTTCACTAATTTATTACATAATAAGTTTTGTTTATGGAATTACAAAAATTTCACTCTTACAGTCTTTTTTTAAACAGTTTTACCAAACAAGGACAAAATAGTTATTTTTCCAGAAACAGCTGCAGAGAGCAGCTGTTTTCACACAGCTACAGCTGCACCAAACAAATAATTAGCTTCTCCGCAACATTTTTCTGGGGAAGCGCAATTGCAGCTGAAAAACTAGGAAGCTGCAATTGTGCAAAACAAAGCCTTAGGGTCTATTTGGTGCAGCTGCAGCTTTCCAGCTTTTCAGCTGCAATTGCGCTGCCCCAGGAAGCTGCTGTGGGGAAGCTGCTGCGGGAAAGCTAGATAGTTGTTTGTTGCAGCTGTGTCAAAACAACTGTGAGGTAGTTGTTTCTGGAAAAATGATCATTCTGCCCCTGTTTAGTTGAACTATTTAGAACAAAACAATGAAAGTCTTATATATGATACATCAAAAGTAGAAATTCTCTTTCCAAGCTAAACATGTAAAAAATAAACTTCTTCAATTTTTAGTCAATCCCAGAAGCCATAATTTTGATACTTTTAAGGATAAAGTTCAAATAAAAACAGTTCAGAATTACAGATATTCATCTCACATCACAGTCTAAATTTACAGATCTTAATCAATTTTACCTTGTTGCAGTATAACCACATCATCACATAGTGTCAATAATAAATCTAAAATGGAGATGAAACATAAAAAAGTTATCAAAATTACCACACGCTTTGAACAAGAAAACCTTAAATGTCATCAAACAAATCAAAAGTCAACAAAAAAATTAAAGTTACTCTAAATATTGACAGTATATCACGCAAGATCCTTGAATTCCATCTAATCCAAACCAATCTTCAAAAGAAAGCTAATTAAAAGAAGATATCACAGGCATTGTTCCAATTGTAGAAGAACCAAACAACAATATAAAGCCATCAATTTTGGCTAATTGGCATGATACATATCAAATCCTGCTTAAATGCTGCCCAAATCATGTTACCACAAAGCTCCTACGGCTTCTATTGGAGTCCCAAATCGCGCAAAGTTGCGGCAGCAATGCCACCCCAAACCGAAAAAAAAAACGCAATGTCGCGTCGCGCCGCATGCCCCCCCACCCCCCAAACATAGCCTTAATCTCGAGACAACAATTTTCAGATGGGCAATCACCTACAACTATAGCAACTGACAAGGGTACCTTTGGGGGAGTTAGCAAGACAGGACAGAGGAGTAACAAGACAAATCTGAGTAGAAAGAGGCCAGAAAAGGGAACTTCTTCCAATACAGTGCTTGCCAGGAGGTGTCAGCTGTCACGGCTAAGAACACAGCCTCCAGCTAGCCAGCGAGCAAAGATGTCTCATTCATAGACCAGGGTGTCGTCGATAAGGTGGAGACATGGAGTCAGAGGATAGTCCAAAGAAAGAACTTCAGTTTCATGGTGACGAGGGAGAAATGTTAGCCATACAGAGAGTTAAGCAGTCAGAGCCAGAAAGAGATTATTCATGGTTGATCATTGACGGTGCGAGTTATGAAAATGTGGTGTCCACGCTGATGATAATGAAATTGGGATTGGCCGCACAGAAACATCCTCAAATATATTCCCTCACCTGATTGAAAAGGGAAACGAGATATGCGTGCATGGGCAGTGCTTGATTGAACTTTCAATTGGGCATCAGTTACAAGAGCAAGTGGGGTGCGACGTGATTCCGATGGATGCGTGTCATATTCTATTGGGGAGGCCTTGGTAGTTCGACTACAAGACTCGACACGATGGCTTCAAGAATAATTGTTTTTTTAAGAAAATAGAAAACACATCATGTTGTTACCTATTAAGGAGGCGAGAGGGATAGGCGACAAAGAGGAGGCGTTAGTCTCAATGACCACCTTCAAGGTGGTCAACTTGGGATGCTTCAGTGACACTGACATCAACACTACTAGAGGGAACTGAGAAGAGTGAGATACCTACAATGTTACAACCACTACTACATGAATTTCAGGATGTGATGACCGACAATCTTTTGAAGGGATTACTGCCACCGAGGGACATTTAACGCACCATAAATTTCATAGCAGGATCAGTGCTGCCAAATTGGCTTGTCTAGAGATTGAGACCAACAAAGTACGATGAGTTGAAGTGACAGGTATAGGATCTCGTCCCGAGATGGTTGGTTAGAGAGAGTATTAGTCCGTATGTTGTCTCCACCATGATGGTACCCAAGAAGAACGGTCCGTGACGAATGATTGATAGCATGGTCATCAACAAGATTACAATCAAGTACTGAGCTGCTGTCACATGCTAATCACTGCGATGCAAGCTCGAGTCGTGGGCATTGAGGTAGTAAAGGAGCTATACAAGAGATGCGGATTTCGGGAAAATCTGGAAGCAGTGTTAGGAGAAGTCTATCAGGCAATACTGCAGAGCTAATAAATACTTGTTCTACCAGAGCAAGTTGTGCATTCCCAAATGTTCGCTAAGGGAGTCCATTATTCAAGAAAGCCACAGTGAAAAACTTAAGGAGCATTTTGGTAGAAAGAAGTGAAGAACTCAAGGAGCATTTTGGCAGAAAGAAGACTCACACTTGTAAAAGAACACTTCTTTAAGCCTTGACTAGCGAGAGATGCGGAGCAGCACATCCGAAAATGCATGATTTGTCAAATGGCAAAAACCAAGAGAAATATACAGGGTTATACACCCCATTACCAATACCAGAGGCATCGTGGATGGATGTAACATGGATTTTATGGTGGAACTTTCGAGAACTCGACAAAATAAGGATTCAGTTATGGTCGTGGTGGATTGATTTTCAAAGATAACACATTTCGTACTCTGCTAATGGACATTGGATGCATCGCATGTAGCCAACTTGTATTTCAAGGAGATTGTAAAACTATACGGAATACCCAGGACCATTACTTCAAACAGGGATGTCAAGTTTTTGAGTCACTTTTAGAGAACTTTGTGGAGAAAACTAGGAGGTAAGCTTCAATTCAGTTCAACAGCATGCTCCCAGATAGACGTTTAGACAGAGGTAGTAAGCAGGAGCCTTGGATATCTGCTGAAATGCTTTGTGGGGAAAATATCAAATAGTAAGATTTAATTCTTGCTCAAGCCGAGTTTGTGTAAATCAGATATATAAGTCAAACTACGGGTCGCACCCCATTTGAGATCGTGTACGAGCCCAACCTGCTCACCTCACTCGAATAAGTACCGATATTGCAGACTTCAGAGATTAGTGAGGATGCTGAGGAACAGGTGCACGAGAATCATAAGCTCCACAAGACAGTTGAAAAAGAGATCATTAAGCAGAATCGCAAATACCAAGCACAAACACACAGAACAAGGAAAAATGTGACATTTAAGGAAGATCCAGTGTGGATCCAGTTGAAGAAAGAGAGATCCCAGTATGAGCATTCAGAGAACTCAAGCCCAGAGCAAAAGATCCACTTAAAATACTTCAGAAGTTCAATGATAATGCCTACAAGATTGACTTGCCAGGGGACTACAAAATTTCCTCCACATTCAATATTACAAACCTACACTGTATTACAAAGACTACCCAGAGGCTTCAACAAATGAAGTCAAAGCTCCCCAAATCATGGGAGACTATCGCGAGGCTTCGCCTGGGTGAATCGACCCAACCAATTCAGCAAGGGACTCAGTCCAACAGGAGGCTGGACCAGTCGACTATTTCAAGGAACGGGAACTAACGACCCCTTTCCTCACTCTCTTATTTTATTTTAGCACTACATATATATGTTGTTTGTGTGTTTTCGGGTTTAGTTTTCTCTTTCTGATTTCAGGGTTCCAACGGCCAGGCGTCTTCTCCCTTGTTAGGGCAACATATCTGATGATAGGTGGTGCTTCAATTGTATCCTAGTCTCACTACTGCCAAACTCGCTCTAAGGTCTCGTTTGTACCCATGTTATTTTATTTCTAGTTTTATGAACCCTTGTTGTGCTTCTTTCTAAATTCCAACAATAATAATCGTCTTTAATTTTCCTTCAACTTACTCTGATAACACCGGCAATATTTTATGGCGCAGAATGTTGGTTTGAAAAATTAAGCTAAGGGTTACTGAGATGCGAATGCTCAGATGGATAAGTAGCTTTACACCTAGAGACAAAACACAAAAACGAATACATTCGTGAAAGGGTTAGCTCTCGTGGGATTAGAGTCATCTTAAGATTATTTGATCACATTAAACGCCAATCATTTGAAGAACCGCTTAGGAGAGTAGATGTTTTAAACTTATATAAAGAAAGGCAAAGGTAGACCTAAAAAGACTTGGACATGTATAAAAAATGATCTTAATTCATCATAATTAAATGAAAAGTCAATAAAACACAATAGAGAAAAGAATTCATGTTGTCCACCCCAAATAATGGGATAAAGGCTTGTTGTATTAGTAATTGTTGTTGTTGTTCTCATCGTCGTCATCTCAAACCTAGGTGCGTTGGTTAGATTCAAATTCTTGAAATGAGGTGTAAGTAAGTTGTTGTTTCTTATATTGACGTGAAACCTAGATCTTCACTTTGGTGATTTCTAATTCATTTTGTCTAAACATTTCATGATTGGTTTTTATATGTAATTGAGATTAGATGAATTTCATTATGTGTCGGATTATGTTTTATGGCGTAAATTCTAAATTCCAATAAAGTGATTTAATTTTCTCAGAATTTTTGAAAATTTTTAAATGTGGTACCTTCTAAATTATTATTTGGAGAGAGCTTTTTGGATTTTACGAAATGTAATATTTTACATTCCAATTTGAGTGAACCTTAGATTCTAAGACAACCTGTATCAATGAGTCATAAGTTTGATTGGCCGCTTAATGGGATTTACAAAAATATCAATAAAATTTTTTTTTTGATTGATTTATAATGAATGTCATATCAATGATTAGAGTGTGCATGACCATCATGATAAGATCATTGAAAACTATGACATAGCAGACAAGAGTATCCAGGACAGCCATGAGATGATCCAGCAAAATCGTGATACTTATAATGAGAATATGCATGATTGTCATGATATAATATATATGAAGTTGATTTGTTTGTCCAATGCTCAAAAAAATTGAATCATGAAAAGTGGGAAGTATGGAACTTCGTGGTATGATAATTATCAACATAAAAATCGTTATAGAAATTTGAAGGGCGTGATTTTTGGTGCATATCATTAGAGTAAAGATCATAATTATCATGAAGCAAGTGCAACATTCACATTAATATGATTTGTAATGTTGATCATGATTACAATATGGTAATATGAACCAATGTTTGGGTTGATAAAAAAATTAAGATAAAGATGAGCTAATACTTTAAACAATCCAAAAAAATTGCGATAAATATGGAATGAAAATGGTAATTACTATAACAAACTATAAGAGTGAAACAGCAAATAAAGAAGGGGTCATGTGGTGTGCTGCATGTGGATGACAAATGACGAATGCTAAGAGAGAACAGACATCGAGCAGGTCTCGCATTCCAAAAACCAATGGTGTGTTTATTCCCAGAGTAAATTAATTGAATAAAAGGAGTAGTTCAACTTTGAAACCATGCGATGCAGATTGGCGCGTGAGTCAGGTTTAAGGAGAGAAACCTAAAAGAGCAGAAAATCAGAATCAATCGTGACAAGAATAAAGAATTAAAAAAGAATTCAACTGTATTCAAGCATTCTTAGTTGTCTTCCTACAGCCCTCATGTTGAAAATAACCTAAACAAACATGAAAAAACATAATGTCTTAGTAACATACATTTAACAATATAACTAAAATATGCATAAAATTCAAATTGACACATGGCTAAAAATCAACATGGAAAAGAATCTGAAGATCATAATAATCTTGTATCAATTATATAATGCAGCACAACAACATAGCCAAAGTCTCAGCATTCATTTTATCCGAACTGGGTGGGATTTTTTCATTGTCATCAACTTGATAATCAGAATTAGATAGCAATCAGTTGCTTGACTAATTAATTTCTATGGACATTTAATTCTGCTCATAGGAAAAAAACTTTAAAAAAATCCAGCTAGAGTTGTTAATGGTTCAGGTATTAGAGACTTAATGAGCTCCATACAACTTACAGAATAAAAAGCTTACCTAGAGCCTACTGATCACGGAAACATAAGTCATAATAAGTATCCATGTTTCTTTAAAAGATGATATAACATGCAGAGGTGCTATATTTTCCACAATAAAACGCATCGAACTTCAATAAATAGAACACTGACTTCAAGATGGTACTATCCAAAAAGAATTTTCTCCAATCTTGAAAACATCATCAATTTGATTACATGGCAACTCTACATCTTATAAAACTACACGGCTCAATTGCTACGGTATACATAGGAAAAAATCATTTATATGCCACCAAAAAACTTATACCAATTATAGTGCAAACAACCATGGAAGTGAGAGATGGAAGGAATTAAATTGTTCTTAAGACCTTAAACAATTCCAAATTTACATGCTTCTGTTCATAAGAATGAAAAGAATAAGGAGCTCCATCCCCAAACAATGAATCAAAGTTGGCCGCTTGCTAAATTATTACATCATCACTAAGAAACTAGCATAAGAAACAAGTAGAGATAACCGGTAGATGCAAGAGTTAGCCAATATATATGTGATGTAAGAACAATTAAATAAGGAAATCAAGTCAAATGATATATAGGAGCAGATAAGAAACTTAGCATAGTGCCAAATAGAGAAATTACCAACCTGCATCCATCCCTTCCACTCCTCAGTTTGATGACGATTCAAGTAAAGAATGGATTTTCCCGAGAAAGCTGACTTGTCATTGTGCTTCTTTAGAGAGGTCATGGCTGATGCTAGGACAAGAAGAAGATATAGAAAGAGAAACAAATCTCGGCTGTAACTCTGGCAAAATCAAAAGCAGGGGTATACCCATTATTTTACAGATATTTTAACAATCGTTAAGATTTTCCAATTCATGAAGCGCATCGAACATTTAATATTGTTGATACAAGGAATAGTTAGATAATCATGATAAAGTTACAATTTATCACAACAAGAAAGTGTTTTGGAGAAGCTAAATGAAACAAATGAAAAATGAATTAGATTTCCTCTATGAGATGGGAGAAATTCCAGTTGATTGATGATATATTGTCCACATCTTCTAATTTGTTGGACGCTAATTCTGGCTGTTTAAGCAGGTCGTGGTAAAGCAAAACTTTAGGTAATAGAAATAATAAACAAGTTATACAATTAAATAAAAAATGCTACATGATTTTAATGCGAAAATGGAAATATAAATTTATAACAAAGCATGAACAAAGGAAGACATTTGATTCAAAAAGTTGGAGCAAATTAAGCACAATACAGTAAAATTAATGTAAAAAAAAAGATGCTCCTCATTGCAATTCAAAGTTTGTGCAAAGAATATTCATACTCTAATATATAGATAAACCTTCAAGTGCATGTTGTATACAATAATTTTCTAATCCTTCGTAAAATTTAATAGCAAGACTAACTAAGCAGAATTAAAATTTCATAAACCAAAATAATCGAGAACAGCATGCTAAACCTGTAAGCATTCAACCACTGTAACTTGTAAAGATCGGCATATTACAAACAAAATTGTAGGTAAAAGCGAAAATTATTACTGCAATTATCTTCACTAAAGTTCTGTTAACTCCAATGTGAAGAAACAAACACCTTTTTGGTTTCTGAAAACAAGTTAGTCCGATCACATAAGTAAAAGTAGAGCAAAATGATCCCAAATTCTGACCTGCAAGAAAGCTAGAAGTTAACCTAGAGATAATTGGTCATTACATCAAGAGGTATTGAAAAATTCAATGCCAGAGAACCTTACATGGCTCTAAACAGAGCTCTATTCTCAAGCAAGAAAGATTCATCCATGCTTGCAAACCTGTAACAGATGAGGGCACCAGAAGCTGTTAAACTTCTCGCCATGGGGGACCAAGACATCCATGATTAAAGTTTAAGTGTTTCTTTTAAGAAAATAACATAATGTCAACTATTTATTTTAATAAACCTGATTAAATTTGTACGCACAGAAGCACTCTGAAAAGTTGAAGGTGCACACTTAGGAAGGCCTCCTTCAAGTAACACGGCATGATCCTCTTCTTTAACGACAACATTCTCCAACTCGACCAGATTGACATTAAAATGGCTACAAAAGCATATACAGGACTTCAAAATGTGTAAGAAGAATGTTTTTGCATTTAGCTCCAGATTGTTGTTTTTGTAGAATTAGTAACATCAGAAAAAAGTAAAACTGTCCCTCATATTCACTCATTTCATTCCCAACTACATTAAGAACACAAGTTATGCTGGATTTTTTTCATATCTAGAAGTAGTATCATAACAAAAGAACTTGTGAAATATACTTTGCGGTTTATGCCTGAAGAAACCCGGTTAATGGTTTATAATTATTCAAGCGACGACAATTTACCATTTTAACATAGTCTGCAACTAAACTTGACAAACAAGAGCATCTTCATCACCATCATAAGCTTTATCCTAGCTATTTAGTGTCAGCTTTATGCGTTTTTTAAAATTAGATGACAAAAGAAAATTGTATAAAATGAAAAGCAAATTGTATAAAATGAAAAGCTTTATGACTGAATATCACTACTTCGTTTTTTTTAAGGATGATAAGTGATTTATAAATCAGAAAAGAAACAACAATCAAGGAAAGAATTATATTGGAAACCTATTTTAATTCTAAAATCAAAATTAACCGTACATAATAAATGGAATGTTACTGTCCATGAATTGCTATAGGTAAAAAAAAAATGTTGTCCACTGATTGTTGCAGCTGGAAAGTTGGTCTTGAATTACAAGATTATTTACATAAAAAAATTGTTGACTGTTGATTGTTGGGTTGTTGTAGATAGAAAAGTACTGGCCATAAGTTTTACATTACTTCAATATTCCCTTAAATTGAGAGGCATATGTTGATAACGCCAGCTAATCAATTATATTATACAAACTCATTGTAGGTAAAACCTAAGTGTGGATTTTTTGTAGAACTTATGATGGTCCAATTATCATAGTAGAATTTTACAGATCTTTCACATGATAATTCAATTCTTCTAACATTGTTTAACCACATTCCTTCACAAATACTAAATCACATTGCCCTATATTTAGCTTCAGCAGTATTTCTTAAGATCACAGATTACTTCATACTTCTCCATGCAACCAAATTTCCCCGTACATGAGTATAATAGCCAAGGGTGGATCTTTTGTTTGATGTGCCTTTAGCCCAATCAACATCAATATCAGCATTTGTGAGAATTTTGATTTTATTATTAAATAACATTTTAGATTATAGGCATTTTTGTTGCCATCATGAGATAACTTGGAATGAGGTTAACTTTCATGTGATCTTAGAGTCATTCATTATTAACCTCCAAATTTACTTCGCTCACCTACATAATTTTATGCGCATAAGGTCTCATATGCATGAATTTTTGCCCACACAATTTTTTTATCGAAGCAACATTTTTTTTTTTAAACAGAGCGAGCACGTATGGATTGTCGAGATGGGGTAAAACTCGTACGAAACACCCATGATGTGGTAGGTGATTTAAAAAAAAAATTAAGTACATATATGTGTTTCTATAGCGCAGTGGGAAATATTATAATTTTGTTAAACATGTAACACATACACAGTTTTCGTAAAGTGATAGGTGACGAAGATCAAGTTGTGATATTTACACCACATGCACGCTTTTCATAGCGTTGTTGGCAGACCCAGCTTTACTAATGTAGCCTCCCTCGTGGGGATGACACTGGGAGGCTGATGAAATGTCGTCTAAATCATTAAATTAAACTTGAACTAAAAATAAAGTTTTTAAGTAACAAGTCATTGATAAATTTTAAAACTAAATTATTAAAGAAAATGATGGAATTAAATAAAATAAAACCTACATAAGAACTACAGGGGACTCAATGACTCGTCAACGAGCTCAAACGAAACTTATAGTTAACTTGTTGGCTCACTAATAAGTATAAACTAAATTGTTAAATATTTGAATTATATTACAAGCATCATTAAATGAATAAGGAGCCACATTGAAATTACTAGAAATTCAAAAGTCTATTTTTCTACTAGAGTAAAACATATTTTAGACTTTTAATGAAAGTAATCGCTAGCTCGTGAGCTTAACAAAGCTTCAATGAGTACTCAAAAGTTGATAAGTTGGAGGTTAAACATAAGAAATCAAATTCACCATTTTAAATAAACAATCAAGATTCTTATTTGCATAACAATTGTCACCATATCGACAATTTCTTTGCACTAGGAGACAGAAGACATTAAAGGTTTAAAAGAAATATTTGCACATATTTTTAATGATAATAAATTTGTGCAAATAACAATAAATCTCCTAAACGGTTCAAATTCATAAACCCTAAATACCAAGCATGTGTTCCGCCGCTCATGCCTGTTCACTAATTTTAGGCATATGACATTTACGTGCTTAAATTGAAACACAATTCATCTCATTTCTAAATATCATATCTAAAATGATTATTATGCATGTTTTAGATGCAAGGCAAGGTCATAAATCCTATACTTTAGCTCGAT